TATATATAGGAGGACTGTCACAGCTACATGACGCTAAACACAAAGATAGCTGTAACTGTCAGTTTTACAGATAATGAGCTAAAATATTACTACTGCTTCTCTAAACAAAAAGATTTATGGTTTTGGTTCAGATACAAACAAGATTTAAAGGTTTTTGTTTTAATTTGCTTCAGGCAGCAAATGCAAGAATAAATCTAAATAATAAAAAGATAAGTAACAGTTKTGATTTATTGCCTTCTCTGAAATGAATGATAGAAAGTTAGATTTGTGTCATTTTGTTCTTTTTTTTCACATACTTCAAACTAAAATCTGTTGTGGAAACTGGAAACAAATGATTAATATACATTATAAAGTTGAATTCTGCCTCTGGCTCAGATAAATGTTTACATCTGCTGTACAGACAGATGTGTTGAATTAAAAAAACAGGCCGTTTCATTTGTTCATTAACATCTTTAATGGTGAACACGACGTCTGAAAATGTTTCAGTTATTAATAAAGAAACGTTTTGCCTGCAGCAGGAGGAGGAAAAGCCGACAGCGAGCTGCGTCTGAGCGGGCCAGCTGCTGGTTCTGAGCTGAACATCGAGCCCAAATCRCTCTGACTTTCAGCCATGTTGGCTTCTCCTCACAACTCCACACAGCGTGTTTGTTTATGGAGGTAATGAAAGTCTAACCAAGCGTGGAATCCACCAAGGAGGACTGAGCTGTGCTGCTTTTTACGTCTCAATAAAACTCCCCGTTCAAAAATATCTGAATAAAAAAACTAAACAAAACAGATGAGCTGCTTGGAACAAACATAGCTAAATATGATCCCAGAGAGAAGCGTGGCGCCACATCACGCCATGATCCRGACTAATGTCAGGGAATTAGAAGAAATGATTCCTGTAATAAGTCGATTTTAACACATTAAAGCGACGCCTCCGTCAATAACAACATGACATCATTCACAGATTTACAGACTACAGCTGATCCGTTAAATCAGCGAGACGCCACACATTTAGTCTTAGATTAAAATTTATCTAATCTCTGAGGAGACGAGTGAACGGTGTGGATCTGATTACWAAAGATGAATTATTTGTATTTCCATGATCTTGGCTTATAAAGTCCAACCAGTGGCCAATACAACAAATTTAACACCAGCTGAAACACAGGTTTGTTCTAAAACAAAGTGAAGAAAGTTTAAAAGTCAGGGAGGATCTGAGTCGTACCYGGCGTCAGGAGGATGACGGACATGGTGATGAGGGAGCAGACCACCAGGATGACCAGCAGGGCRATGGCAATCCCCTTCCAGTTCCTCTGAGGAGGACTCACCCCACCCAGGTCCTGCAGGAAGACCAGAAGAAACACACACAGTCAGAAATACTAAATCATGAAAGTCATTTTATCTAACAACATAAAGAAGTTTAACGCTCAGCAGCCTGTGAACAACAGGTGAATCAGGGCTCTAATGATGGTCAGGTGATGGGGAGCATGATCCTCTATAATAAAGATAATCATGACATTAATGATCTATTGTTAGGCTGATGGTCCTCTTTTTCATGTGAACAAACTGTTGATTGTCATCATTAAACCTGYTTGTCAGCATGTGGAGGCAGTGYTTATAATGCTGACTTCACCTAAAACTCCTCAGACTGAAGGTTTTAGAGGAGAAAAACCTTTTATTAAAAGAAGAACCGTCCAAAGGGCCCTATTAAAATTTTTCTGGTTGTTTTTTTTGTGTTGTCTTTAACATTAATATCATTAGCACCAATATAAATACCATTACCATCAGCACAATAAGAACTAATATCTTCGGCATTAGCACCAATTTAAATATCTCTAATGCCATCAGCATTATTACCACTAATATCATTAACACTGTTATCTTTAACAYTATTATTATTATTAGCACCAATATAATTGGCACTATACCACTAGCACTGATAACATTATCATTAACATTAAATACCAWYAATACTATTATTATATACTAATTAGAATCAGCATCATTAGCATTAGCACCATTAGCACTGATAGCTTTAATACTAGCATCAATTGCACCAGTATACATACTTCTAATACCATAAGCACTAATGTATTTAATATTAGCAATTACCAATAATACCTTTACATCACTATAATTTACACCAATATGAATACTTCTAATACCATGGACATCAATAGCACTATTAGCGTTAGCACTGTTATCTTTGACATTAGTATTAAAACCAATATGATTAGCACTAATACCACTAACATTAGCACTGATATTAGATCACTAGATCTAATATAAATACCACTAATACCACTGGCATCAGCATCATTACACCGATATGAATACCTGTAATACCATCAGCATCATTAGCRCTATTAGCATTAGCACCATTAGCACTGATATATTTAACATTAGTATTATTAACATCAATATATTAGCACTAATACCACTAGCATTAGCACTGATATGGTGATCATTAGTATCATTAGCACCAATCTAAATACCACTAATTCCATTAGCATCAGCATCATTTAAACCAATATGAATACCTGTAATAACATCAGCATCATTAGTGCTATTAGCATTAGCATCATTAGCACTGATATCTTTAACGAGTATTACCATCAATATATTAGCACTACCACTAGCATTAACACTGATATGATCATTAGTATCATTAACACTAATATAAATACCACTAATACCATTAGCATCAGCATCATTAGCACTAATACCATTAGAGATAATATGGTAATATGAAGGTAAATGAAGGGCAGCTATAATACTGTTAGCCCTAGCAGCTAGTTGGATTACCTTCCTGTCAGAACAATAGCATAAAAACATTAAACTGTGCCACTCTGCTTTTTTATTTTACTTTCATTAAGTCAWCTAATATTTAATAAACCTAAACTGTTATTGATTAAACAACCCATTAAKCATAACGATGCAACAGGAAGTGCTGTGATTTATATTTCCTGTTAGCGACTAGCTTTAAACCAGAATCTGAACCATTTACTATAAAACGCAGCACAAACTGAACCATTAATGATTGGGTGTTTCTGGGAACAAGAGGAAACATTTTCAGCCAATCATTGTTAATTTCTGTTATTTCAGTCCGTTTACTTTCAGACCAGATAACTAATTAACTGTTTTTAGATCTGATTTGTTTGTCATGCAGCGGAATTCCATGACAGTTGCATTAACATGGGTCAGACAGAGTCTGGAGCTGAGAGGACTGAGCGTTTCTGCACGGTTCAATCAGACAGAGGTTAACTCTGAATTACAGCGTCTGACCTGAGGAAAGCCTTCCTCCTTCGTCTCAGCGGGTCGTTAGGACCCTCAGAGCCGTTTATCTCTGCAGCAGCTGTTCCAGAGCTCGGGCTTGTTTCAGCCTGTGAGTGACCGACGAGCTCCCTGATGGTATCTGCAGAGGACCCTGGTTCCTCCAGCTCTATCTGTGAATCCTGGAATGAAGGAGTTCTCCCTCYACATCTGCTGCTGGTGATAAGGTGCATCAGAGCCCCCCGCTGCTACAGACGTCTCCTCTCTGCAGTTTATTCCTGCTCTCAGTGAAAACAGCCTCCAAACATAGTTTTATATCTGGATCAGCTCKACGGGAGAGGAGAGGATGAAGAGTCTCATCATCACTGATCTACGGTCTGTCAGCTTCACCCTGAACTGTGTTTTAATGGTCACTTCCTGTGGACCACGTCAGACCTGGAGACAAACAACAGCTCAATAATCTGATGGAACAACAAGATTACACACAAATCCCACTGGTTTTACCTCCACAAACCAAACTTTCCTCAATAAATGTATATTTTAGTCACCCTGGAAAAGAACTGTGTCATCCTGACCAGAGACCCACTTCAGTCGGATGCTAACATTAGCCTCAGTCCCCCTCGGACTCAGAACTGTTATCAGGACGCCACCAGAAGGATGACGAGTCCTTCAGACCAGACACTTCTGTTTTTATCTCCTCCGACCAAAATCCTGTCCTGAAAATCTCCAACAGGTGGAAGAAATGGATGTCGAGGGCAGATCCAAACTAAAACTATCTGTAATAATGTTAAAAACCCAAACTAAAACTATCTGTAATAATGTTAAAAACCCAAACAAACTATCGGTAATAACGTTAAAAACCCAAACTAAAACGATCTGTAATAACGTTAAAAACCTAAATTAAAACTATCTGTAATAATGTTAAAAACCCAAACTAAAACTATCGGTAATAACGTTAAAAACCCAAACTAAAACGATCTGTAATAACGTTAAAAACCTAAATTAAAACTATCTGTAATAACGTTAAAAACCCAAATTAGAACTATCTCTAATAACGTTAAAAACCCAAACTAAAACTATCTGTAATAAC